CCCCCCCCCCCCCAACCATTTTCAATGACCTTTCATGGGATGGGTATGGACATTTTCTTTAACCACATGATCTTCATTTGAAAAAGTGGAGTGAAAGTCATGAGAGCAAGTTGGAAACAATCCTTAACTAGTTCATGGTCACACAGAATTACATGTGTATGAAGTTTATTAAAAGAGTCTCATTATGCCATTCTATTTAGCAATTTTATTCCACCTCCACTCAGCAATTATTTATTCCTCAGAACACAAAATGTGATCCAGAATAAATTTTAAGCAAAGTGCCAAATGCAAACTCCATCTTGTAAAGGTTTCCAAGAATGTCTTGAAACCAACAGAAGAATACACTGATTGAAATGAGGCCACAGCAAGCACAATCTTGATCATTTTTGAGCTAGGACAGTCACACATAGCATAGAGTCACAATGTGTCTAGATCCTCAGGAAAGACCTGAAACACAACAAAATGGCAACATGAAATGAGATAAAACTCTTTAAAAAGCCACAAATTATCTATACTTTAATTTAGGTCTATCAGCAATTTAAAGTCAAGTTTCTATATAACATAAAGCAAATTTCAGGTTTGCAGAGTGTTCTCTACAACATAAGAATTCACTAGTAGACTACTAGTTAAAAATCATGTTCCATAAATTGCAGAACTGTAGACAAAGAGTTCCCCCAAGGACCAAGGAGATAGGAAGAGAACAGGGCTAATACCATTTAGAATTAAGAAACTTTTCTCACCATTTGCCAGTTTGCATTGCCTGAGTGCCTCATTGAATCCCTGACAAAGTGTAATGTCACCCTGATTCTGTGCGCACTCAACAAATTGTCGCAATTCCCACTGACAGGGACCCAGTTGGTTCTGTTGTTGCTGATCATGAGTTTGGTATGGTGATGCTGCCATATCTTGCTGATATGCTGGCTGCTCTGATTCTCCACTATGGCCACCAAACAGAGCACCACTAACTGCATGACCCTAGATACATACAAAAATATGATGCAACGAGTTAGAGACATATAACACACCACACAACAAGGAGATGCAGTGGCCTCGTGGTTAGCGTGCTCGACTCTGGATTGAGCAGTCTGGGTTCAAGTCCTGGTTGGGGACACTGCGCTGTGTTCTTGGGCAAGACACTTTACTCTCACAGTGCCTCTGTTCACCCAAGTGTAGAACTGGGTACTGGCGAATTAAATGCTGGGCATAGCCCTGTGATGGACTAGCATCCCATCCAGGCCGGAGTGGAATGCTCTCGCTTCATTCTACAGAAACCGGAATAAGCTCTGGACTTAAAGGTCACTTGGCTCGTATGCAGGCTTTTTTTATGGGTATCTGATTGCAAATAACGAATGTATGAATAAAATTTATGAATAGCAAAGTAAAGATACTGGACAAAGGATAAAATTACTCTGGGGGGAAGATCACGTTGTAAGAATTTTATCAATATAATTTAACTGATAAAATCGATAACAGTTAATTTCGATTAACCGATTGTTATTGATTTATCGTACAGTCTTCCGATATCGATTTGTATCGATTGAACAGGCCTGGAGTATAAGCTTACGTAAGCTTTTGTACTGAAAATGTAGAAAAATGCTGATATTGTGCACGTTTAATTAGTTCACAACCTTTTTTTTCTCTTTAAAAGGATTGTTAAGTACAGGGAAATTAAAAAAGACTATTTTAACAGGACTACTTACCACAGTTGAACCGATCGCTACACCAGCCGCCGTGGACGCCATTTGTCCAAACAGTCCAGGTTGTCTTGGTTGTTGCGTTGCTGGCTGCGCCACGCTGGAAGCAGGTCTGGCAGCCGGCACACTAGAAACAGGCCGTGGAGGGGCTCGTGGTGGCGGAGATGCCTTTCCAAACATTGGAGATGAACGACCACTAGATCGTCTTCCACCACGAGGCATTATTATTGTCTTCTTTTACAGAGATGAGACAAGTACACTCCGACTTATGTAAGACTCGCACAAAATAAAATGGCGTCTGGTAGTGATGATGTAAACCCGTGTTCCTATTGGCTCATCATGACGTTGCCAATTTCAGTCTTCCCAGGTGTCATTGCTGTCGTTTTCCTTTTCACCATTCCCCACTCAAAAACAGAAGACGTTCCACGTCTTCCAGTTCATGTAAAAATAACCAAATAACAATTCTTACCAGAGTGTTTCAACTACTGTATTTAAAACATAACAGGCCAAGTAAGCAAACTGTTCCACCAGAAACTTCCCAGAAGCAAGATGCTTTTGTTAGTTCTGAAATACGCACACGACCACAACACCACGCCGCAAAATTTGGAAGCCCAATACACATTATTGTTGTTTTTATCTTTCTGTATCTTTATTTTTGATGTGTTCTATAGATCCATTAGCGCATTCTCATGAATTGTCGCTCTAGCTCCTTTGGGAGAAACTACATGATAAATTTCTTTACTCCAATAATTAATTAAAGAATTAGCTTATAAAGCACTAGTGAGACCTCATCTGGAATATGCAAGCCCCGTGTGGGATCCCTAGATTGACAAGCATATCAAGCAAATAGAAGATGTCCAACGGCAAGCTACTCGATTTGTGAAGAACTGTTGGCAGCGAACACCTCAAACTGTTTCCAATTTACGTAACGATTTGGAATGGCCCTCCCTTCAAAACAGAAGGAAATCTGCTCGCCTCAGATTACTTCATAAAGCTATTCATAGTGAATCAGCATTAGAAATCCCATGCTATATCAAAAGGCGTAATTGGCCGCGGCCGCACTAGAGAGCCGGGTTATTTCTAATTAATTAATTACGGTTAACCGGGTTACCGAAAAATAATAATAATAAATAATAATCACTCCCATCGTGACCCTAAAATCGTGATGCGGTCGCTAATTTCGGCTGTTCGTGGAACTTAAACCGGGTTTACGGTTACCATGGAAATTAATTGATGAACAATAGATTTTTTAACCGGGTTAGGTTGATTTTCAACCACCTTTTTCCGTGCTTTAACCCAGGTTAGTGGTCTCTTATCAGCATGAAGAATACAAAAGCAAAAACCGACACAACGTAGAATGATTTTCTGAAGGTGTACTATATTTCGGCTGGCCAAACCAGCCTTCTTCAGGTACAATGGAAGATTTTACATTGGTGCGCGTTTTTATGTAGCCGATATTTACGTAATACCGGAAATACGCAAAAGTAATAGATGGTGTAAATTGAAGATAAGCATACGGTAAAATAAAATAACATGATAAAAGAACATAATAAAAGAAAACAAATGGAAAC